AACTATGCTGTGGTATGCTCTATATCCACAGTTATTATATGTCTTAGTTCGTTGACAACGGTACTTTTGATTCAAATCACCGTACGCCAAATCATGATATTCATCAAGAAACAATTATATAAAACAAATATCAGAAGCATAAAAGATGTTCTCGAGCTTGAAAATATACCATTCTGTATGACTGTTCTTCTCATTCTGGCTGGGATTTTTGGTATATTGATGAATATGTGCTTGCTATCGTGGTACATAATTTGTATGTTGGAGGCAAAAGGAAACATCAAGAGATGTCGTGAAATAAATGAAGGGAAGATAACTGATGCCGTAATTCTCCTCTATTTATGTTACATAAATAGTATTTACTTAGCCTTATGGTTCCGCCAGACATTGTTCAATGCAGAGCCAGCTTTAAAACATCTTTCATCCAAATGTTTAAGATGTTTAGTCACGTTCAGGGGTGTCTTGTAATAATATTTAACTTCGCTGAGATAATAATAGGGATTGGCGTAGGCATGGGATACCATAGGACGAATTGGAAATTTCTTTCAACATTGCTCTTAGTGATCCAGATCGAAACGCAAATTGCCATGCTGGTTCTCTTTATAATCCCTCTAATCAGGCACCAACGTAGCCTGAAATATTTACATCCGAATCAAAGGCCGCCCGGTCATTTTATAAAACTATTGAGACGATCCGTAATATCTACGTTTACTGCTGTTATAACAGATATAGCATCAGTTGTCGTCGCTCTCGAGATTGGAGTTTATTTTTTATCCATCAATTCTTTTATAAATATGTGCTGTGTTCTATTTTGCTTTGTGGACTGGAAAGAAAAACTGCTTCCATGTTTGCTTTGTTGTAAAAATGAAAACGAAATATCTGAACAAGTTACTCCAAACGATGGCAGACGTAATGAAGCAATACAAACCATTAGTTAGATTCTGCCATCTTCATCTGTAAAATGCATGCCATTGGAACTCACCATTGAGATGTGGTGTTCACAGAATCTTCCAAGATTTATTAATTATCCAAATGGTAAAAAAGTGTGTATTTGTATGATTCAGCTAAAATGATAATGAAATATTCAGTAGTGGGATTCAAATTTTTTGTCAGCCGGTTCTTTCACAAAAGTTTCTATTTTCAGGTGGTTCTGCCGTTACAGACAGAACATCTGACAGTAACCAATTAATCCTTCCGGTTCGCTGATCTCGATGAAATTCCGTGAGACGGCTTCTATTAGAACCGGTGCGAAAACCGGCTGGAATCCCACACATATTGGATGAATATCATAATCGTATATCCATGAAACTCTAATCTTATTTTCAAACTTTTGGCTAATCACTAATTCATTTCTACTTTAAATATATTTTTCTATTGTTAGTTTGAATGTATTAATAAATATTCATGTTTATTGTTATATTTGTATTTTATTTCAAAATATATATAATCTACTATCAAGTCTTGATGATTCAGTCTCTAGCTAGAGTCTAGACTCTAGATCAATGCAACTGTTGTTACGCTATCTAACGCAGTAAACCTTACATCGAGACTCGGGGTATAGAATCGTCCAAGTGAAATGGGTCATCGAAAAAATCTATATGCAGACGTTTTGGTACTCCCGAAGTATGTCAACCAAGATGGCGGACACCGGAACGTAGTATGTGTACCAAGTTAGGGTTAGGCCATAATTTCAGGTGCAAATACTACCCGAACTTGTAATAGAACTAAAATAAGGAAATTGAAATAAAATTATATTCTAACCCTAACCTAGTACACACACTACGTTCCAGTGTCCGTCATCTTGGTTCACATACGTCGGGAGTACCGGTGTTTTAGTAGTAATACGCCATTTTGTGATAATTATAATGGTATTTTTTCCACTTTCCGTGGATGTGGCGGAGTAAGACCAATGTGTTGTTTTAAAACGGTTTTGAAAAAAGGTTTCTAAATAGCACATCAAAATTTATTGCGATATGGCCAGATGTTCACGAGATTTATTTTACGTAATTGAAATTGAAAATAGTCTATTAATGTAATAAACATTGATCACAAGCAATCGATATTATTCGCTGTATAATTAAGATCTACAGGTTTTAAAAACTAACCTAAAACTAGCAGAATAGTCTAACTGAATCATCACTGTGTACTTCAACATCAATTCCAGCATATAAGTCAATCATCTATAACAACATGGCTTCGCAGCCCAAGCAATGCCTGACCAGGAGTCTTCCGGATCCTGGCCTTTCACCAATTGGCCCCTTAACGCAACAACAGGAGGGGCAAGCTAACTTCCAGATGAATCTCCAGGAGGCAATACAAAGAAATATAGTAGACCAATTACCATCTTTAATTGCCAAATGCCTTGCCGAAAACTTCAACTCCGCGAACTTCACCTCTGAATACCTGCCTATGAGTCCTGGGCTAAAAGAATGTATGGAGGACCAAATGGTGTCTCTAAAAGAAATAAAACAAGATCTAGCTTCTATTAAAGAATCTCAAAGTTTTCAATCAACAAAATATGATGAGATTATTGCCAAGCAAAAAATAACAGATGACAAACTTATGCTCTATGGCAAAAAAATAAGAGATCTAGAAGAGTTGGTCTATGACTTGGAGGACGAATTATACTATGCCACAGAAAAAATTGAGGAACAAGAGCGCCGATCTAGATTGGATAATCTAGAATTTCATGGCATCGCACCTAATGAAAATGAGGACACCGACAAATTGATAACAGAAATTGGAAAGATCATCCACGTGGACATCAAACCATCTGACATCTCTGTAACACATCGTTGTCCAACGCGAAATTCCAACATCCATAAACCGATTGTCGCAAAATTTACCAATCGCAAAATCAGAGCTAAAATTCTCAAAAATCGTCACTTGATCAAAACCGCTACCAATTCAACATCCATAAGGAACCTATCTAAAGCATTTGTTGTTGAGAATTTGACCGACAAAAACAAGAACTTATTTTACAAAGCGAAAATTCTCAAAAGACAATGTGGTTACGCCTTCCTATGGACATCAAATGGCAAAGTGCTGATAAAAAAGAACAAAGACACTAACACTTTATCCATAACTGAAGATGAAGATCTTGATAAAATAAGATGAGTCTATTTAATTTTTTACTGCCATATCCTAGTAAATTATTCTATCATGTTATTGGTTTAAATAACTTCAGTCCCCATTGGAATAGCCCATCTAATGACTTTGCCCCCCTCGCCTCAACCAACCTAATGTTATCTAATTCGAACCCATTAGCATTCCTCATCTATGAGTGATCCTTATCCTACCTGGGAATCAACCAATTTTCATCCCGAAATTCCTTCTATTGCAAGTCGATACCTTGAAATATCCAATATCAATAGAGTAACTTCAAGTTTTCTAGCAACAGACTTTATTATATTGCACCATAACATCATCTTTGGCAAAATATGCCGATAATCTAGTTGAGCTAATTTCAAATTTTTGTATTCCACCTCAAATTATTGCTCTAAGCGAGACTAGGATCATGAGTGAAACTGCTGTTGTCAATATTGATATCTCTGGTTACACTTTCATTCATGCTCCCTCCTCTACTCGCGCAGGCGGTGTTGGTTTTTATATTAGGGACAATCTAAACTTTCATTTATGCACTGACTTCAGCCTTTGCCTCCCAAACTGTGAGGACTTGTGGATCGAACTCAAATATTTCCAACCAACCTCAAAAATTCAAAATCTTGTTGTCGGTGTAATATATAGACATCCAAAAAATAATATCCCATCATTCACCACAGCAATGTCTTGTTTATTTGAGAAGCTGGCGATGGCTAAAAAGCAATTTATTATATTAGGCGACTTTAATATAAATCTTTTTAATTCTTGTGACAATCCTACTACCAAGTATCTGATATGCTAATGTCCAATTTCATATGTCCACTTATCACCAAACCAACCAGAGTGACCTCAACCTCCCACACATTAATTGACCACATCTACACTAATATCATAGATTCCCGCACTTCGTCATTTATTTTGCTCAGTGATCTCACCGACCACTTTCCCATAATGTGCACAATACCAGCAACTAATAGTAACGTTAAAACAAACACTCGCATGAAACGGGACATGACTAAATTTTGTGCTGACTCGTTCAGGCTAGAAGTTGAGTCAATGTGTAATAATTATACTAGTGTTATATTATCTGAAGTAAACTTCAATAGCTCATTTGATACTTTTCTTAGTCACTTCAAGTGGTTAATCAATAAGCATGCCCCATTAAGACCATTTTCGCGTAGAGAAAACAAATTTTATTCCAAACCTTGGATTACTAAAGGAATTCGTAATTCCATTAAACATAAGAACAAGATGTTCAAAAGTAAGTTCCTGAAGGGAAATTTATCCCAGCGTCTCCACTTTAAAAAATATAAAAATATTTTGACACATTTGCAGAGGAGATCAAAACAAATGTATTACCATAACATCCTAGAGAACAACAGAGGCGATGTTAAACGCACTTGGAAAACTATAAATGACATCATCAAAGTAAGGTCCAATGATGAAACCACTATCTCGGAACTGAAGCTTGAAAATGGTACCATAGTCTCAGACCCTGTCGCGATATCCGTTGAATTTAATAAATTTTTTTCATCCGTAGGAAAGAGACTTGCCGATAATGTCCCACACAGTACGAAATCTTTCAAAGCCTTTTTGGGTGCTCCTACACAGAATTCGTTTTTTCTGGAGCCATCAACACCTTAGAAGTTCACCAAGTAATAATGAACCTGAAAAAAGGCAAAGCAGTTGGGCATGATAATATTCCTTCTTTTTTCTTAAAATTAGTCGCAGACAGCATATCCCCAGCTTTGAGTCATTTCTTTAATCTATCATTTAGTTTAGGAATTTTTCCCTCCGCTCTGAAGATTGCTAGGGTAATACCCATCTTCAAAAGTGGCAACAAAAATAATCCTTCAAATTATAGGCCAATTTCAATTCTACCCTGTATGGCATCGTCCTGGAAAAATTAGTCTATAAAAGAATGCTCAACTTCTGTAACAAATTCAATCTGATCGACAAATGCCAATTCGGATTTCAATCCAATCACTCGACTTCCCATGCCATCCTAGATCTTATTTCATTTATCTATGAAAAAATTGATAAAGGGGAGTCTGTCTGTTGTGCATTCCTGGATTTAAAGAAGGCCTTTGACACAGTTGATCATCAAATTCTTGTCCAAAAGTTGACACACTGTGGTTTTAGAGGTAACGCATGCAAACTATTATGTAATTACCTGAGTGGTCGATCACAGTTTGTTGAAGTAGGATGTCATAGGTCTCCGATGTTGCCCATCCACTGTGGAATTGTCCAAGGTTCGGTCATTGGACCATTGGCTTTCTTACTTTTCATAAATGATTTGTCGAACTGTTCGAATCTTTTAACAAAACTCTTCGCCGATGACGCTTGCTTGCTTGCCAGTGCCAAAGATTCAACCACGCTCCAAAATACTATGAACACTGAAATAGATAAAATAATTGAGTGGATGTTATGCAACAAACTCACTGTGAACGTAAAAAAATTAAAGTCATGCTATTCAGTCCTAAATCAATTAAAAAACATTCCAACATGTTAATCAAAATCAGGGGGCTTGCTTGGAAGTTGTTCAATCCTTTAAATATCTCGGGCTCTATATAGATAGTAACTTAAAATGGAACACTCATATTACCGAGATGCACAAGAAATTGTCAAGGTCTGTTGGGATTTTGGGAAAACTTAGGCATTATGTGCAGGATGCTACCCTGCGAACCATTTATTTTGCTCTTTTTCAATCCCACATCCAATATGCTATAACTGCATGGGGCTCTGCAACACAAACCAACATTCACAAATTGGAGGTCTTACAGAATAAAGCTGTTAGAACTCTCTCCAGAGCGTCTATTCGTACAAACTTAAACACCCTTCACCATAAAACCAGGGTGTTGAAACTATCCGACATTTATACTCTAGAGATTGCCAAAGTTATGCACCAATTTCAGAATAATTACTTGCCCACAGCGTTCGACAATTATTTTGTTTCGCTTACCTCTGTGCATGAACACAACACACGCTCTTCGACCAAATCCAATCTTTTTGTACCTCGCTTTTCGCTGAGCAAATCTCAAAATTCCCTGAAATACAAAGGCGTAATAATTTGGAATAACATTCCCCAAAGTTTACGTGACTCCACATATGCTACTTTCAAAATAAAATATAAAAAATTCATGCTTTCATCCTACCTGTCTTTCTCCAGCACATCTGTTTGATGTGCTCACTGACTTTCCCTCGGCACTGCCAGCAGAATACTTGACTAGGTCCACAACCTCCCAGAGTCGACAGTACCTGTAATAAGTGAATCTGAATGTTTCATGTAAATATTTGAATTGCTTCTTTATTATCATCTACCTCCATAGTGCATGCTCTGCACTATATTATGCTGTATGGCCATTTGTCATACAATGGTAATTCAACTTTGCTCATAGCCTAATCGTATAGTGTTAGCAGTATCTTTCAACAGTTTTACACTCATGATCCTTGATATTGGTCTCTCACCAAATACAATTTAATAACTATCTCGTATATATTTTTGTAAAAAGGCTATCTATTTACCATTATTATTATTGTGCTTTGTTGCATTTTCGAAATTTGTATATATATAGCACTGTTGATACTCGCTGCAGTGGTTATTTCATCCATCTGTTCATACACATATCGTGTTCATTCTATATTCTCAACGATTCCAAGCGGTATGCTTACTAATTTACAACGCTATTTATTGTTACCCCCATCTACTTTGTTGAGTTAACCTGTTTTTCACAGATTAGAATAATTTTTATCTGTAATGTATTAATGACGATTCGACTTACCCCAGCACTTGCAATCTTCTTGCACCCCAGCACTTGCAATCTTATTTGAACTCTTGGCAAACATTTATAACTATGATTACGCCGTGTTATCGACATAATATCCCTACCGGGATATATTTAAAATCTGTTTAAATAACTATCAATTCCATAATGCTGCGATATCGGCTCGGTATCCTGTCATCGCACTGTACTGCATTCCTGCTGCCGTTCCTATAGTTACTCGCACATATGTGCTTGGAGTCGTTTTTGGTTTTGCTTTTCTGTGTTTCGAGCGTCTCTTGGATTCAGGTCGTCTCGATTTTTCACTTCTTTATATTCTTTTATTCATTGGTTTGACTTTTTTCATTGTTTCATGATTCATTTATTAGACTTTAGCTCAGGTGTCGCTGCTCGATAACCAATTTTGGTTTTCGCGACTCCTTTCACCTCCAATTATCCGTTTTTGCTTCCTTTTACATTCCGTATGCATTTAGTGTATTTCATGTGTGGTGAAAAAATAAACTACTGATTACTACTGACTGTTAGATTCGACTGAAAATTGACAACTGCTAATGAAGAGTGAAGACTGAGCGTCTGGTTATCGACAAAATGTGAGCTGTTGTGCTTATTTTACATAAATACTATATTTGCAGTATGGTTACAACCTTTTTGCAAGTGAACCCCTTTTTACAACCTTTTTGTAAATTCGATTTTGTAAAATATCGCGACTCAAGGATATGCTCAAATTCTAAACGTGTAGTACTTTTACGACCAAAATTAAATGAATAATATAAAACAATCAGTCGCCGAGATTACGTGCTACTTAAAGCTTCAATTCATGACATCTAAGAAAATTTAAAATGTCTTTCTATAATAATTTAAATGTGTTACAAAAAAATTCATACATTCATACTCTAAAATACCACAGCATCTGTGACAAAAAATGTGAGAATAACTGCTAGATAATATTTGATTTTAATCCGTATTTTTGCAACCTTGCAAATCCGTCATCGCCGTTAGAAAAATCTCAAGTTCTGCTATCAAATCCCAGAGTGTACGATTTGATTTAGTACAATAAAAATACATATAAAGTATAATATACGATCTTTTTTTGCGCAATGTAATCAATTCATATGGGCATCTTTAAAATGTATTGTAATATTAATTTAATTGGGCTCAATTGAACCTGCGGTAGCTTCGATAAAATAAAAATCATTATTATTCTCAAATACAGCTTTCGCTTTCTGCACAAGTTATGATAACGGCAAGTTCATTTTAAGGCGCAAAAGACCACTGAAGTTATAAGCGCGATAAAACATTTAACAACAACAACAAGTTTATTTCACCTTGGCAGCGACGAAACTCGCATTTGTTACGTAATAATATCCTCTATCAGACTCGCCCCGACTCAAATATCGTACGTGTGTGGTGTATTTGTATTCTTCTTTCTTCCCATTTTAAAACACACAACAGGCGCTGCATGAAACTGGTTCAAAACAATATTTTGGAGTATGTTATTAAATTCACCCAACATCACCTGGGTCGACTACTCGAGACGTGGCCATCGACCGGTCGCGTTTGCCACCCCTGGTTTATATATTACCGACATGCATATTTTAGTTTTTCCAAAATTCTTGTATCTTTGAATATCAGTGGCTGTCTGTGCAGAATAAATTTTCTAAATAATTCTTTTTTCAATGCTTCAATGTTTGTTGCCTAATTTAGTCAACATGTATTCATATCTGTATTAAATTCTTTTAGTTTGTATAACAGGAAAACAGTGCAACTAATTCAATCGTTTTGTGCGGGAGCATTTCTAACAACTTGATTAATGGAAGGCGTTGTCCGGCAAAAATGTAGGACAGCAAGCAAACAGGGAATGATTCAAAAGCAAACAAACATTTACTCAATCCGAATTGCAAAGACACCTAAGAAGCTTATGTAGAAAACATGAAACGGCTGTTTGCTCACTTGTTCGTTACACGCAAGTAATCAAATATTTTAAAACTGAGCAGTCTTCTGTTCTTTGTTTTCGGTGGCTACATTTTTTATACGTTTTGTGATTGCAGACAAGCAGAAAAATATAATTACCGAAAATATAATATACTCACAAAGGTAGGTTTCCCGTAGTATTCAGTGCGTGTGGCCTAGGTTGAGATTGAAAAAATTCCTCTGCTCAGTTTTCAATTACAGTTGATTAGATACAAGCACGCGGGCGTTTAGTTAGAGTTTAATGTAACTGACTTTAAAGCATAGTTGACACACCACACTGGAGGAAGAATCCAAGTTAAATTTTTCAGAGACCAATTTGCTTCCTGAAAAGTATTTCTGAATGATACGGATAGGATTCACATATTTATCCCGGGGTAGAGAAAAGATGATAAGACGGCTCAATTATATGGCGAACCACGGCCTCTCGCCCGGTTACCCATGTCAGGTATGGGATTAGTTAGCCAGTTATTTGTTTCAGATACATGCTGGACTTGATGGTGGAGGAAACCAGCGGTAACGTGTATGAAGCCCCGTTACGGCGGTGAGGAGTCCAGCGATCCTCCTACTAAAAGTTGAATTGTAGAAAACGCATCCAAAAGTGTGACAATAACAGCAAATTTGTGGAATGGAAATAAGCGTTTATCGTGAGCGCCATGGTGATTCCCGGGTAGAACCCTAATATTTCATCGCAAGTTAAAACACTCAAATTCCATTTCCAATCGCAGGATTCTAGCTCGTAAAAACTATAGGCCTATTTCCTATTTTAAGAGTGCAGTGCAGAACGCTGTGAAGCACGTCACAAACTCTTACGCATTCACATGCCGTCGATTTTTTAGAAAAATATTTCAAATATGGAATCCACCCTTGAAGTTGAGACTGCCAAGTTTGGTATTGTTGATTATGCTGTGTTCGGAGGCTTGTTATTTGTGTCTGCTGCAATTGGAATTTTTTATGCTTGGAAGGATCGTCACGAAAAAGATGCAGAAGCATATCTTGTTGGTAAAGGTAAAATGTCACCGGTAAGTATAGGCAAAATCTTATATCACACGAAAGTGCCTCATATTTATGAGGCCCTTAATTAGAAAATCACCTCAAACTTAGTAATGATTGATCACTGTTATGGATACAAAGAAGGAAAATAATTCACGGAAAAACATCCGTGGCCATTTCCAGTATATATGATTTTAGCCCCGTGTTATGAATAATGATATCTGAGCTAAAGCGAAGATCAATTTTTCAATTTACTAATTTTTGCTCCCTTTTTTATTTCAGATTCCCGTCGCCATTTCCCTTTGCGTATCATATGTTTCTGGTCTTCTTATGGTTGGTTTCCCGACACTAGTTTACTACTTTGGCGCTGTAACTTGCTGGTACTCTGCCGCATATTTTGTCGGACCGTGGATTACAGGACTATATTATATTCCGATGTTTTTCAGACTAGACATAATGTCGGTTTATGAGGTATGTTTTTGAAACAAATTTTCAAATTTTTTTTCCAATTTTTGAAGTGCATATTCGTTCACGCCATGTCGTTTGTGTAGGTTATCACTTATCGATTTTAATCGGTAAGTATGTTGATAGGTATTTGTCTGTCTGTTTGTTTGTCTGTCTGTCTGTTAGATGCACGCGATATCTCACGAAAGCGAGATTGAATCTGCTCCAGATTTTGCATGTGCATTCATCATATGTCGTACCAGTAGCCAATTGATTTTGGATGAATTATGTCGTATAATTAGCGAGGTATTAATTACTTAGTCATAGTAAACAAGGTGTCACTATGGAGTAAGAGCGCTGTTTTGGGGATCCCCTAGTTTTCGATCGATAAGTCTCCGGTCTCTGACTGATATTCTCGTGATATTTATCTTTATACAGAACCCATATCTATTTATAGACTATATACTGTTTTTGTATTCTTGCAACGCTGTGGCATCACACTTTGGTTTACTTTGTTACAGTTTCTCTGGTTATCCTGTTTAAAAATCTGCAAGGCGAATATTATTCACTGCTGTGTTTGCATTATTCTTTTCAACTTTAGATTTTAGAAATGCGATTCGGTAAAGTTTGTCGACTAATTGGTTCCACATCGATTATAGTTCTTATGGTAAGTTACATTTTAATAGTACAAACTAAGATGGAAATGGAGAAATCACATTCATATAAAAAAATATCCTACTATTTTCACATTTACTTTTTTGCACAGATTGTATATATGGGCATGGTAACATTCATTCCATGTTTATCCCTGAGCGCTGTATCGGATGCATCGATTCCACTCTCCATACTCTTGACATGCGCGGTCTGCACTTTCTACACTACGCTGGTAAGTCAAAGTCATCATAATACACAATTGTAATTATACATCAAGTGCTTATTGGAAATATATAGGACAAGAGCTCAGCTTAATTCAACTTATATTGTTCCTTTATTCATTACGTCTATCTTTTTACTTTTAGGGGGGAATAAAGGCAGTTATTTGGACTGATGTCGTTCAGGCGTTAGTGATGGTGTTAGGAATGATATCTGTAATTGTAACAACGACAATAAAAGTCGGTGGTGTTTCAAATATCACTGCAGCATTGGAAAGAGGAGATCGTTTAAATTTTGTCGAGTATGAACAATTTTTAAGTAGCAACTCGCTATGGACGAAAAATATTTATCTGTTTGAACTTATTTTTTGTAGAACAATTTTTTTTTTAATTTCGAATTCGCTTACCTAAAAATGTTAAATATTAATATTATACAAAATTATAGGTTTTTGGGAAATTTGTGACTAAACGCGTTTCAAAAATGGTAGGCCACATTGGTGACCGTACATTTGAACCCACGTACATTTGAACCCATGTGTATATCCGCGAGTATAATCTATATATATGCGGGTGCTAAAACCCATGGATTAGGGTCAGTATGCTGGGTTCAAATATCCGCAAAACATCAACAATTTTCATAGGTGCAATAGTATGTAGGTGCAATTGTCACGGGTTCAAATGTACGGGAACCGGCTACACTACAACTTACAAAGCCCTCTCTGTTTTACCACGCGCTTGAACAACTCGAAAACGATTTTATCTTACACCTTATCTTTCATACTGTATCTTTCTTCATATTCATAGACTTCTTTTGTGAGCGTCTAACTTAATCGTAAGCTCGTTAAAATATTCAATTAGGTGTTAATCGAGTTCATCAATTTCGTATATACAATGCAAGAAACATTCAAATGAATCGAGCTTATCGTCAAGTAATTGTTTTCAATCTTTTTTGTCAGATGGTCTACGGATCCTTACCTTCGATATTCAACATGGTCTATAGCTATCGGTCTACCTGTTATCTGGATAATGATGTCAGCAATAAATCAGCCGATGGTCCAAAGATATTTGTCTTGCAAAAACGTCACTCAAGCAAGAGTGTGAGTAGATATTGATCGTATAATATACACTACATTTTCCTGTCGTCAAACTACTGCACATTCTTGCAAGGGAGTGATTGCGTTAGTAGTTTGAAAAATCGGAGTAGATTATTACACTAAAAATCAAGACTACTCTGCGAATAAAAAACATAAATAATAAATTATTGGTGCTGGCCTCAAACACATAAGGACAGGGTCAACTAAATTTTCTCATACCTGCTACCTGCAGTACAAAACAATATATATTGTACGGATTGTAAACTATAAATTAGTCTCGACAATTTCGAATTTTCAAATGTCGAATGGAATTATTTTTGTTTTTGTTTTGAATATTTTTTGTTTTCATAAAGAAGAAATCATAGTGGCGAGTTTAATGCAAAGAAATAGTTGATATTCTGAAAATAATGAGGCAATATCTGATAAAATCCATTTTAGGCGCAATTAGACGAATTTTTGTTTCTGGCCGAAATTTCCGAGCTTTGTTTTTACAATATCCATTTATTTTTCAGGGCAGCGTGGCTTTTACTTATCCCTCAGCAACTATTCTTTTGGTTGGCATTCATTACAGGTATGGTAATGTATGCCTATTACGAAGGGTGCGATCCATTAAAGGCTGGAGTCATTGAAATGCCGGACCAAGCTCTTCCATACATGGTAGTTGATCTTTTTCAAAATGTTCCGGGTCTTGCAGGTGTTTTCATTGCCGCTGTTTATAGTGGAACATTAAGGTAATGTACATTACAAAATAGGAAACAACGTATGGACAGTATAGGAAGACCCATCAGACATTTTGGTTCAACTCTGATACCCACTATTACCAGGTTGTTGTGAAAATCTATGTCAAACTATAGCTATTACAGTCCCTTCAAGTAATGTGTCTGCTCTGCTCGTTGGTCGTGGCAAAATAGCTTTTTAAACAGCTTGTTCATTTCAATTAGTAGTTCGACTACGTGATTAAATTGCCTAAGTGTTCATTGAGCTGTTAGTAATCAATTTTCGTATATTCTCTCTCAAATGTATCACTACATTCACGAGTACACGTGTAAATTTATAAAATAAAAGTTTCCAAACACGTGGCTTATATTTAACAAAACAAGCCCATTAATCTAGATTCGATGGCTCTGAGCAGCAACAATAGACAGACTCTAGTAATTTTTTAGAAAATGTGATGAGCTCAAGAATAAATTTTCAACGGGTTAAACACTGTACATTATTTTATTTTCCAGTACTGTATCATCGGGAATCAATGCTCTTTCAGCAGTAATCCTTTCGGACATCATCTTGAAGATCAAACCAGAGTTAGCCAAGAAAAGTTTGATGATAAGTAAAATACTGGGTAAGTAAACTGGGACGAGCAGATCTACGTTTAACTGCATGTTGAACGTAAGCAATAGATTCTGAAAATAGTGATCTATTTCAGCGTTGTATTTATGAAGTTTTGTTTTACAGGACTTGTTCTGGGGGTAATTGTTCTAGGTATGACGTATATTATATCTGCAATAGGAAAAATGGTCATTGATTTGTTTTTCGCAGTCTTCGGTGGAATTGGAGGTCCATTATTGGGCGTTTATACCTTGGGAATGTTTTTTCCTTGGTCAAATCTTTACGTAAGTAATAGTTCTAATGTTTTCTACACTGTTAGTAATCACATAAATCCCGTCAAATGAATGAAAATCTTTGGTCATCAATGAATGGCCATCAACCATCTATGGTGGCATGGAACTGTCTATTCAACGGACACGATGACTTATTATGCTAATTTAAATGTTTTTTATTGAAACAAAGGTCACAATACGACCCAACTATACAACTGAACAAAACCAAATAACAGAATTTGTAATTTAATTAAAATGTAATGATCAAGAATATATTTAATTTACAGGGAGCTGTTGTTGGACAGCTGATAGGAACATTCTTTAGTATATGGATTTCCGTTGGACAAATTATATACCCTCCACCACCAGAAAAACTACAAATAAGGCCAGTGTATGCTGATGAATGCGTAGCCTTCAATTCAAGTGATACTGCGCTATTTTCTACAGCGGATTACAAATTAAATTTGAGTGAAGTGGATGTTTCAACCATACATACAAGCACAGAATCAAACAGGTTTGAAATAAATTAGTATTACATTGTTTCCAAATGTGAGAATTGATATTTAAAACCAACATGGCGACAGGAGCAGTTAAACTTAATCAGAATCTAAATCACAATATTTTTGAGAAAATAGCTATTCAAATGACTACTACACAATTCGCTATTTTCTTTTTCAGGCCACCTATAGCGGATTCATTTTATGCAATATCAAGCAACTACACTGGGTTGTTGGGATTTCTAGTCACCATTATTATTGGAATTATTGTCAGCGGCATAACAGGTAACGCGAATATCTTCACTGCCTGTAGTATGTACGAAACAGAAAACACTACATGGCTTCCTGGTGGATTTCGTGACTATTCTATACAACCTATTGTGGTCAAAATTGCTTGCCAATAACAGTTCACGAAAAATATTAAATAATAATAATCTACTCACATTCTAAATTAGACATTAAAACTTAGGGTACCGCTGTTCGATGACTAGCTTTGGTTCCCCAGTAAAAAAAAATATGTTTTTTACATTTTCGCGTATTTGGTATTTGTATCAATCATTTTTTAAAGAAAATAAACTTGACTATGACTACCCAGGGGAAGACATTATTATACTTAAACGAATTTTAAATAAATGAGTTGAATTTTCTCAGTTGTGTACACTTTACTATACATTGCAGTTTGTTTTATGTTCCAACCATTTTCCCATGGTTAACATTCAAAAATCAGGTAAAATTTAGATAAATATTTAAATCTACACTGCTTTATTAATGTTTTTATCTTCGTTTTTACCTATCATATATGCTATCAATTTCTCATCAAATTTTTCAGGATTTGAAGACCCGAAATATGCAAATACTGACATATTCACTCCTTTCGTGGACAACAAACATCTTCCGGAAAGCATAATCAAATTTTTCAGATTTGGAGTTCCGGAACGAGAAAAAGTGAAAAACGAGGATTGGGGCGAAGAAAAAACTGATGAGAAATTAAAAGACGAAATATCCGCTTGAAATATATATATATATATATATAATAGAATGCAAGTGTGATAAATAAAATGCTGACGATACATTTAACGTTGTTAGTGTTACCAACAGTTGTTGGTGAACTGTATTTAAAAATGCAAATGCCATATTCTTATGTACTATGATCTCATATGTATAAATTGTTCTGAGTTTCCCTATACCGTATTTTACGGACCATAAGGCACTCCGCCAATAAATTACTTTTATTGGGGTTTTGCCCATAATACCAGAGGCGCGCCGGGTTATAAGACCGAAGAATATCAAATAGGACTGCCTTCAATTTTCTACCATCGTTCTGCAATTTTTTTTTTCTTGACGAACAGTTTTTTCATTTTACAGATATTATAGAGGATTTTTTTTCGGTATTTGTTCCCCCAAGAAAGAATCTATACGTCGTAATCGATTGGCTGTAATCTTTTGTCCATTTTGTCCATTATGCCACCTTGGTATGTGTGACCAAATTCTCTTAAAAGTTCAAATTCACTATTATTTTAACTAGAGCACAGTGGTGTCTAAAGTTGTAAGTTGTGACGTTGTTTTATTTCGTGTGAGTGATTGCTACGTAAGTTATTTATAGAACACGGCATCTCGAAATAACTGACACAGCACAAGCAAAGAACATCCCAGCAGATAAAGAAGAGAGCGAGAAATATTTACTTTCCTCGTGTGTGATAGGAGTCTCATAATGCAAATTAGAATTAAAATGTCCATAGAATAGTCATAGCCAGGTATAAACAGTATTAAATAAAATGTATCCATCTTAGTATACAAAATCACAAGAACATTTACACAATAAAAACATAGACGTTATGGTCTGGGACTCTTGCTGCTGCTTTGAATATCATGGCACCAATAAATCAGAACTCAACACACAAAACGTCAAACGAATCCTGCACAGCCTACAGGAAATTTTGTAATAGATAAAAGTAATAACCCTCTAGCGACAACAACAATCTTCAACCACTGAATAATTCGAAGCAGTTGATCAAATAGTTATGAGAAAAGCGATTTTTTTCTCAACAAGAAGAAAAACGAGAATATCGGTCAGAGACCGAAGACTTGTCGATTGAAATTTAGGGGTTCCCCAAAACAGCGCTCTTACTTCATAGTGACACCTTAATTAATTGATTAATTGATAACTCGCTAATTATACGACATAATTCGCCCATATTAATAGGCTTCTGGTCCGAGATATGATGAATGCACATGTAAAATCTGGAGCAGATTCAATCTCGCTTTCGTGAGATATCGCGTGCATCTAACCAATGACATTAAACAACTGATTGATCTAACAGACAGACAGACAAATACCTATCAACATACTTACCGATTAAAATCGATAAGTAATAATTGGGTATGAATAATCTATTTCTTAAGTTCCTTACATTGGGATTATCTGTTCTAACATTTAAGGGTAAGTGAAATGGTATACCCTTGCTTTGTATTATGCCCGTTTGCTTGTACTTATTTTAATATTCATCTTTATTGTTTGTCATGACAAGTTGTCTTACTGATATCTTGATTAAATCAATTTGGGATTAAATCTATTCGTTTCATTTCGGGATATTAGTTAAAAAGAGAAGTAGTGGGCAAGAGTGATTTTCAATGGGCATAAATCCAAATTAGTCTTCAGTCAGTCCAAGATAAATGTTTAAATAGCATTTCCCTGTATCTTCAATACAGCTAAAAAAGCGTCAGTTGTAAAACACCCGATATTTTACGAAATCGCAACTGAATTGCTTAGAAACGACCGTTTTCACATTTTTCGCCAAGCATCGCCATTGTTTGCTTAATATATATTCTTCTACCTCCCAACAATAAGCACATCTAATGTACTTTCATATACGATAAAAATATTTCTACTCCTGATGTGGGATATTTTAGAAAATCGCAACTGAATTGCTTAGAAACGCCATTTTTTTTTTAAATATCGACATCGTTTCTTCATATCTTTCAAACTAATAGGAAATAATAGTTCATTCTATTCGGTGTTGGTTAGTATAAGTATAAGTATATTTCGACTCCATAATCAGCAATAGACGATAAAAAATAGATAAAAACAAAAGTAAAAGTAACTGATTATAGAATCGGGAAAGCGAACAAAACCTAGAGTAAGGTTTGAAACGTACAGATTTTAGATGGAAAGGTATTGATAAAAGAAGTAGTACATATTCGCTCACCCTACGCTATTTTCAACATCATACGTACACATTGCTTCCAAGGCTCATATTGATTCCCGATAATGAACATTTCTATATGTCGCGGTAAATAACCACAAATGGTTGAATTTTGAATGTGAACACTGCTCGGAGTGGGGAAACCTCTCGCCGGAATTTCTGCAACTTCTTCTAGGTGTCGCGTGGTCTCTGTCGCAAGTCGCGACTCGACTTACAAGTCACGTCTGTACGTATTCTCCGCGAGCTGCGATGGTGGCTCACCATTACTGTGTTACGGTTAACGTTATTTGATTACGGTATGAATGGGCGAGCATACCGGTACCTGCAGCGTTTTTTTTATTTTTTATCCCGGACTCGGAGTAAAGAAACTGGTAGCAAGACAGCATAATCGTATGATGAATCACTGGTTTCAGGATGAAATTTTGAAAGCAGTACCCCGTACCAGTACGGTACTAGCCTACATTCAGATATTTTTTTATTTTTCTCATGCAAGAAAAAGCAGTTAGTAACCTGTAGAGATAGAATACCATACATCTGGTCTGTAAACAGATTAAATTTAGATTTGACTTGTCCTTTAAATTCGCTTATTTTTGCTTAATTCTGCAATTATCATAACACTGAATACATCAATAACAATACCTATACATACAATTCTGTGATTTGTACTGGTAATAACTGTGCTCATTTCTTTGAATCATCTATCACATCGATCAATGCCCCAATGTGTTGCTTACTGCTGTACTCGATGGAATTTAAATTATGAATATTAATAAAATGACGGATTTACTGGAATTAGTATACAAGCACACAGAAGACTGAAAACATGAATGTATTAATCGCAGTTGATTCGAGTGAACATGCTGAAAAGGCTTATGATTGTAAGTTTATTTTGAATTATAGACTGATTTCTGAAATGTATTTTCTGATTGTATTAGTACTACAGGTTACAGCAGTATGAATCTATTGGTTGTCACTAGTCGGTTCCATTACATTTGAACCCACGTACATTTGAACCCATGACAATTGCACCTGTATGCTATTGCACCTATGGAATTTTTTTTGTTTCACGGATAGTTAAACCCATACCAACCCTAACCCATGGGTTTTAGCACCCGCATATAGATTGAACCCGTGGATATACGCATGGGTTCAAATGTACATGGGTTCAAATGTACCGTCACCTCACTAGTCTGCTAGTGGTTTTACAGACTTTTTGCCTAAAGGGTCATTTGCCCCAGATGTTTCGTCCTTTGTACTTTTCCGGTGGCATATGACGATTTCCCGGTTTCAGTTATGACTTACGAAGTCACGAATCAATAATTTATGGTTTGTTACGGTTGTACAGGACATCAAAACCATCATATATCTGTATTCGCATTCCATGCAATATTAATAAATGCAGAATACCGGTAATGGAATATAAATAAGTTACTTACAAAAGCATTTCTTCATTTATTCCAGTATTCTGTGATGAAACGATTTGATAAGACCAGTGGTTTTTAACCAGGTACAGCCCAGAGGTTTCGCAAGTTTACATTCAAATCCGAGAGCCTATTTGTGTATTAATAAAATATAATCAAATACCTATGGTTGCTCTTATATACTAATATATATATGAATATTTTAATTATCAAATGACATTTTTTTTTAAATAAGACAAACTATTGCACAAGGGTTCTATGAGTCTCTGCAATGTTTCATTGAGGTAATGCTCAACCAAAAAGATTGATAACCTTTCTATCAATATACAGGGTATGTAAAAAGCCTCCATAAGCCTGACAACACTGTGTTCCTTTTGCATGTCAAGGATGTACCCAAGTTGCCAACATTCTCTTTTACAGGTATTATGTATTTGTATATCAGTTCAAATATGATATGTTAAAATAATTCAATTAAAATATTATTCTTATTAACTAATTACAATGCTCGAAATGACCGAATGTATTTAAATATAGTAAATTTTATGAATGAATTGAAATATTGATAATGAGCATCAGTCATATTGAGAGTGAAATTTTGTGTTTCAACAATATCCATTTCTCTTTATAAAGATCTGTAATTTGAATTTACCATCAAACACCATAAATATAATCTCACTGGAAATTTATTGAATATTTACTGATAATTTCACAATTTCTTTCCAAATATTCAATGATAGAGGATTGGATTTTTCATTCTCATGAAAAAGTTAGAAAATTTTATTATTAAAATAAAACATATGTATTTCAATTTATCTGTAATTATGCCATTTTTTCGGAATTACCAATAAATTTTCTAGATTTTTGATAAATCCTTCCACTGCTTATGCTTAATTTTCAGAGGCTGGTGCATTCCCGGCAGAGGAAATAACCAAAATCATGACCAAGCATAATGAAGATGTTAATAAATTAGAGAATACCTATACTGTAAAATTGGGACAGAAGAAGGTATGTATGATCTAGGAAACATGTAGTTAATCTTGTTTGTGCATCTGAGTTATCAAAATCTTATTATAATTTTTATGATTTTTGCTAAGCTGATAATTAAGATCCTAGATAAAAATTAATGCTATTCGAAAAGGTTTTACATTATTTATTTTAAAATCTGAAATTAGTATTCTATAGGTTTGCCATTTTTTTGTATGATATATGTCAAGTTGTATGCCAAGTTTTATTAAAAAAGTCCTATTTTACAACAAACAAGCAAGCAAGAATACAAAATTATGTTTATTATATCCAAACAAGTTGGCCTTCGAGTTTTCATACTCAATTTCAAATTTTGCCCTAGGCAGCCCAACTATTTTCCATTTATGCGTACGTGACTACTGGCATGTAACCTTCTTTATTTGCCAATGACTCAATTGTAAACACAACTGACCAAATGACAAAAGAGTCATGGTAATTTGATAGCCTTCTTGGGTATCACATGATATGTTTTGTCTTGAATTATTTTGAATCGTGAGACAAAATACAAGATATTAACATGCTGGTCCTAGATTAGTAACCAATATGGAGCAAACTTTTTTGAAAATTTATTCAATAGTCTATATTTGATTTTGAAGTCTCTATAGGTAATTATACTCTGATGAAAACCCCACTCGGGAATAGTTTAGAAACTGTCAGAAATTTCCACATAATTTGACATAAAAAAATCATTGGTATGAAAAATTAATATCCTAAGTAGGAATTTGAATTATTAAAATTGTAAAGTAAAATGAATTTTCAGTGAAACATACCCATTGGGTATTTAAAATTGAAATGGCAAAATAGAAGTTCAGAATGCCATTGTAAAATCTTGTTTGCTTTCAACCAGTAACTCTGCTGGTCTTTTAAGCTTTTCTGTCTCTCCAAGTCTCCATAATCGTCAATAATTCATGTTTTGTACAATCCAAATTTACCACTTCACTGTGAGGCATTTTATCATACACTTGACTGAATAATGGGGCTTGTTACTAAAATTAGCCGTTCCAACGTTTGCGCTTGGTTTCTTTTGTCATGTATCAGACAAAGAGCAAATATTTTTTGCATAATATTCAATTAAATTTTCATTGTCAGAAAAATGCTATCTGGTAAATTTTTTTTCGTTGTTTTGTAAATTGTTTACTAATGTAAGTATATACTGTAATATCCGTAGGTACTGGTTCAAGCTTGGCATAAAATTAGTGTCCATTTATGTGCAATAATTATTTGAAATACTACTGCTACATGCCATACTTAATCACTTTTTATGAACGTAAGGCGTAGTTTTGTTATTGTCAAAGCAGTCATCCTAGGTCTGATTTATTGTGTGTAAACTAATGCATTGTTATGTCATACATGGTTCAGTTGCCAAGCCATTGCTCATGAGAATGGCCAAAGTATGCAGGGAAGCTAATAAAACTATTGATTGCCGGTTTGTTGCAAGACGAACTTGCAAAGACAATGCAGAGAGGCTTTTTATCTTACGATGTCATCATATTTTGATGACGCCATTTGAATTTAGAGATACTATCTTGATCCCTGCCATTTTAGCACACTCGGTTTTGTGGCGGTAATATGCATCTTACAGGGGAAGCCATCCCTGCGCTATTAATCTTTTTTATTTATAAAATTTTCACAGATCAAAAATAAGATTTTGCTTGAATCTAGTGGTGGAAGTCCTGGCCAGTGTATTGTTGACAAAGCTAAGGAGAATAAAGTTGACTTGATCATTATGGGCAGCAGAGGTCTCGGCACAGTCCGCAGGACGATCCTTGGTTCTGTGAGCGACTATGTTGTTCACCATACTAAGATCCCAATTCTCATTTGTCCTAAGTAGAGGAGAGTGTATCAATATAAACAATTATGGCTAAAAAGCCTGGTTTCAATTTTGATAATTATTCATTGTTTCACTCTTGTCTAGACTCTATTAGAGGGTAGATCCTTTTGCTAAGATATTTTGCATAATTCTTAGATCATTTCACATCTAACAAAATACAGTAGCCTACATGTGATAGTTTCAACTGACGCTCATCGATGTAGGTGTTGCTGTGCTTTATGGACCATGGTGCTTACAAATAATAACCCAATATGTCTGGTATCAATAAAATATTCAAAGTCAGATTTCAATACTGAAAATTTTTCATCACATTTCGCAGCCAAATATTGAATTTTATTCTACATGCAATCACATACTTTATCATTATATTGCTTTTTGAATATATCATGCAGCAGTCAGCATCACTTCCCAGTAATCTGGGTAGCATGCATTTTCTCATTTTTCACTGCTTTTTAGTCATTGAAATTACGAAGAAAATGGTGTTGGAGTTTTGTAATTAAGACTTAACCTCAGCATATTAAGTTCCACAACATGTTATATCATAATCATGACAGCAGTTTAAAGATTTTGTTTCTGTTACATCTATATGGAATATAATCTAGTATTGACCAATTGCAATCCACAAATAAGTTGTGGAATTGTGTCACTGTTTAATTTTAAGTTGAAATTATGTGTTAGTGTTTAGTATTGTGATATTGTGTTATTCTTCAACCATGAGCATATTGTGAATTGTTTGCAAATTTATATTGATTGTAATAATAATTGTAATTGCTTCATTAACATTTTTATTTGTTTGCTTCTGTTGATCAGTGAGCCCGACGCCATTTGAGCAAAACTAACATTTATGGTTCATGGAAATTGGAAGCGCATTCGACACGAGATATGTGTTTTCGCTGATGCTGTATTTACCACTTAGTGAGCAAGCGTTCAGCCAAAATGGATGGTTGTCTCTGTAGCAGACTCCAATTATGTAAATAAAAGCCAACGGATACTGCGTCCACTTTGCTCCCGGTTGCGCCATGATATCGGTATCCGGGAGGCCCATACAAATCAAACTGACTGGTGCGTTCGCAGGGCAAGCGCTTTTAGTATCCAATGACCCGAGAGGTCGAATGTTTTACGTTGGATTTTGTTTACACACATATTCTGGTATGTCCGAGCCATACAGCGTGTAACTTACAATATGGCGGGTGAGTTTGTCGTTTTGATATGATACCAAATCACGCATGAAGACGGGCATGTGTGTAGCTGCCCAGGCGTCAGATACTATGACTGCGTGACAATCCTTTGGCCGCCTCTCGGTGTCGATGATGTTATGCCTACCTCTAATAATCTATCGTCGACTTTCAAAATGTTGTCCTTAGACCACTAGTTAAGCATGCTGACAACCTTGAAACAGCGAAACCTTTTTTCTGTGCATTGAGGATGTATGTAGAAACTCCTGTGTGATTGCAATGGGTCAATAAAATATGCGTTCTATCTAAGTACTTATTGTTGGAGAGCGGAAAAAACGCAAAAACAAAGTCCAAGATGAAGCTAACCGACAGAAAATGACACTGATTACACAAACGGTTTTATTAGTTAGTTGTCCCGAGCAAAATAAAATGGTACATATTAGGCGATCTTACGAGTTGGGTTGTGCGAGCCATCTTCTGTCCTCACTCTATCTATGCCTTTATGCTCGTGGAAGCGTATAATGCAAGGATGCTGTAAGTGTAGCAGGAATAAACAGGACTATACAAGCAGCGGCTCGTCTGAGGAAGTCAGACTTAGAAACATAAATACATTTGTGTTAGTGTGCAGCAGGACTCTTGTATTATATCTTATACTATAGGATCAACTGCATTTGTCAGGTCAACTTCAGTTTTTTCAGTGAGTGATAATCGATCGTCTACAGATAACGGGACGCAACTTTACCGGAGAAAGGAAGCAGCTGATTGATTGACTGATTATCGATCAGCGAAAATTCTGATACTGTAAATAATTTAAAGTGAACATGTCAGGCATATATTTACGATCAGGCACGAGGAGAAAAAATAAGGACTCTTGAAACAGCATGAGACCTCCCTTCGCGGCAATTGAAAACCAAAAATAATTATAATTATGTTGGCCTATTAGTATAAGGTTGTTCTGTTGAAATAATGGCAAATTTTTCGTATGAATGTCCTACGCTTAAAAGTTGAACTTCGCTGTTGAACAATTTTAAGACTCTGCCGAAATCTGTTAATCCTTCTAGTCTAGTGCATAGTTCACATCTTTTTTTTTAGCTAGGTACCAAAGTCATAAAACAATTCACCCGAAGCACCTCCTCATTAAAAGCGATATATTATATATGGTTCTATTACATTTGAACCCACGTACATTTGAACCCATGACAATTGCACCTGTATGCTATTGCACCTATGGAATTTTTTTTGTTTCACGGATAGTTAAACCCATACTAACCCTAACCCATGGGTTTTAGCACCCGCATATAGATTGAACCCGTGGATATACGCATGGGTTCAAATGTACGGTCACCATTATATATATATATATAACCCAACTGCCATTGTCTCTCCATGGAAATCTTTCCGAGGAACACTGGGGGTTCACAAATCCGAGTTCGTAAAACCACGCTGTAGTGCGGTGATTCCCAACCTTTCTACCCTGGCGGACCAGTAAAATTAAAATAAACTCGCGGACCGGCAAAAAATTGAAATGACCGGAACAGAAAGGAATAACATTTATTTGCGTAATATAATGCAATGTCGGGCACTCAATATGCTTCTAGACAAAAAAGGCACACTTAAAAACATTTCACACGAAGAAAAACTATCAAATAATGTGCCGGCCAAAAATTGAAATGGGTGAAACATAAAATAATATCATATATTTGCGTAATGAAATGCAGGGCTGGGCACCTATTATGCGTAAGAAAGGCACGCATAAAACATCTCGCATAAAAAACATGTAAATGCCAAATAATGTACAAACACAATTAACTCTGGTAAGAATTTTGCTGCTGTTTCGTTTCCGATGCATGATTGCAAACGAGGCCTCAAAGAAGTTTCTGCAAAATGTAGCTCTGCAGCGGTGTGCAGCCGATTTCTTTGCTTCGTTTTAATTAAAGCTAGTGATGAAAATGTTTTTTTGCATAATGTAGTAACTGGTTGATAATACGAACAAGAGTTTGATTGCTCGATTACTTAGCGATGGGTATTTGTTATCCAGAGATATCCAAAATTATGACAATGATTCTTTTTTGAATCTGGACTGTAAGGTATAGTCACAATTTTAATCAAGAGTTTTTTTTTTGCATCGGGTTCATCATATTAATCCCTATGCAGTTGATCGATGCCTCAAACGGAATGAGTTTACATTACAATGACAAAGTCGTCGCTACCAGGCTCAAAATACTGAAAAAGATCACTGCGGCCCATGCTTTTTTGCGCGTCTCGTGATCACCTGCATGATCGCAACAAGTTCATATCATATTGGGATATTATACTGTCCTTGACTGTTTTCCGGTTTAAACAAAGAAATATGCATAACGTTTTAAATGGATGATCATATTAATCACGATAAGCACGCAGAACAGAAAAAGCACGCGTGTCGATTTTTAGGTTTCTGAACCTTGCGAGATTTGATGGAGCGCATTCGCGATGAATCTGAGCCGAAAAAGCGAAAAGTGTGATTACTCGGCGCCACGATGTCGCAATATGACGGCGGAAGAGAAATTGCGTAATAAACCAACGCAACCTCGCTACGGTAAAGGGATTGAGACGGCATAAAAACAAAATTTCTCGCGGACCGGCAAAAAAGCTTCGCGGACCGGCGGTTGGGAACCACTGCCTAGTGATCCTATAGAGAAAACCTTTCTCTTAGTCAACTTGATTCTCAAAAAAGTAACTCGGGGCGAATTTTTGATACAAGTCCCCCCTATAACTGCACGAAGGAAATTTTTTGATGTAAAAAAACAATAGACTCCATTTTGTTAATTTATTTTATATTATAATATTACAGACCACGTTGTAATAAAGGCCCACGACAACACACATTGTGGTCAAAATAAAAACCAAGTTTCCTATATGATTTCCAATTCAACGGTGGTGACTTGAGTCGCAATGCCGCACTTATTTTTGTCTCTCGCAATTCGAAAATATCCGTCTTCACCCCACTTTTTACCCCAGGAATTTTTCACCGTCCAATACTTCTTCATTTCTCCCAAAATTGTTTTTTCTTCACCATAACCAGTTATAAGAACAGCTGTATAAAATAGAAATACATACTGTTTAAGTTAGGGAAACAACCGCTTTTAATTGTATAGGCATTTTCTTTTGTTACAGCCTTTAGATATTCCATTGAACTCTGTCTATCCTAATGCATGCAGTATACCAGGGGTGTGCAATGTTTTTGTCAGAACACCATATAACCAATTTTATTTACTATAACAAATTTTATTTATTTATCATTTTTGTGCGACACTCGAAATTTCGAGTTCTTGCATAGTTTGTTAAAATCAGCTGCGACAGAAGTTAGGATCTTATGCTTGATGGGGACAAATCTGAATGTTGGCAGTGGCCACACTGAAAGGCTTGGCGGACCGCGGGCCGTCCGTTGCGCACCCCTAACAGATCGAAAACACAGTTTTATGTGACTCCCTCCACTTGTGGTAGTCGTTTTGTTTTTGCGAATGAAAATGTTTGTTGTCTCCTTTTCACATGGTGATGGAATACGTGGTGCCACTGCGCACTTGTAGACTAATAAACAAACAGATATGATATTTACCATGATCAAGGGATTTGGGATCACAGAACAAAGGATCGTATATTCCAGAATGGTAGAACTGCAACATTCCCGCGTTCATGGCAACGGACAATGGTCCTATGTTTAATAAATTGATGGCAATATCAGTCTCGTTCTGCAAAAATGACAAGGGTTAGAAATGTATAAGTAGGCTATAGCTTGTATATGTGTGTGGAGAGAATAGAATAAAAAGACTAACCTGGCCAAACCATTGCCATCCGCTTACTTTCAAGCCAGCAACAAATTTGCTCGGGTTAATTTTTGCTGAACAACTATCCGAGATTTTGCAATATTCTGACGGTGGTCCACAAAGAGTTTTGTTATATCCAGGTGCAGGACAAACGAAGCATGTGCCTGGTGAAATCGTTCTTATTGATTGAGCAACTTTTTACAAAAATTTCAGTGTATAAGAATGAAAAAAAAAATTATCTATCTATTTTTCACTTTTCTGCATACTTCATGCTTCTGTGAGCTGTCATTAGCAATATAAACAGCAAATAACCCCGAATACTTAATTTAAAAAGGGTAAAACCAAGCATTAAAATTTACTAAATGAAAAAGTATTTTGTATGTGGGTGGTCTGATATTTTTATGTCAGGTGTTGGAATTGTTGGGCAGTTTGTTTCAGATGCACGAACTGATGATGGATGAATCGACGTAACCGACCGGTGAAGTCCAGTCTTTCGCACACAAGTACAGAGTGACCCCCAAAAACAGAACTCATAAATATCCTAATTACTTCCGTGGAAATGGAGTAAATTATATGATTTTGTTTTTGTGTAAAGCGAGCGACCTTTGGGTACAATCGGGCACAGTCAAAAGTTGAAGCACAAACAAAATCTATTGATTTTTTTCATTTTTGTAGAAGTTATTAACAAATCCATGTTGTTTGAGGGGCCACCCAATTTTTCGCGTAGATTTGAACCTGCACATGGTGATCACATAATCGATGGCTAGTATATTACTAAAGATTACCATTATTCGTCAATCGTCGACTTCTTACTTACCCTCTCCCCCTCCTAGTCCGCAACAATATGGATAGTCGGTTTCTGTTTGAATTCCTCCTGCTTTCTGCACGTATTGATATGCTAAATATGGCCAACCTCCAAACACTCCACAGTCGGCCTTTTCCCTGAATTGATAAAGCATCGACATGAACAGTAAAGGCAGTTGTAACAGTATTATATGTACCGCATTTCCCCGAGAACTTGCACAGTGGAAAATTACATCATATTGAACAAAAATTGGGTAAAACTTTTCAATTGAAAATCAATCAACATCGATCGGATCTTTGCATACAATTGCCGTTATCAACTATAAGAAAAGATTAGATTATTTTGGTACTTGATTTCAATCAGGGTGAATTATTACAACCAAGAAATACAAATTAATCAAAGCTAAACTGGAACTGATCGCTCTTAGTTGTCTGAATACACTTTTTTTGGCCACGAATTGGACTCTGCCTTACTTTTCCGCGTCTTTGGTTCCGTCGCAATCTACAACCTGCTCAACAGATAATTCCGTCAGTGGTTTTCCCAACTTAGCCCACTGTCCTTCAATATTCTGAACTGCACTGAATGCCCAACAGGTACCTGCAGACCCTGAAAAGCAAAACAATTGTCCATCATGCATTCTCTATACATACAAATGTTTCTGTAGAAATGTTTAATTACAGGAGTCCCGGCAATAACCAACTGATTACGTTGCTTATCCGTCACTCTGGTACGAAACAGAAGTTATCATGGTTCAATTATCTTTGCACCATGTACATTCGCGCCTGTAAATTGAATCCAGGACATTTGCTCCTGCATACTTTTACGTTGCAGATTGCACCAACAAACAATTGCAGCCAAGTACTTTGCACCCACGTAAATTTGCATCCATAGACATTTACACATGTGTACATTTGCACCCATAGACATTTACACCTGTGTATATTTGCATCCATAGTGCACCCATTGATTGCGATACCATCAGACATGTGTACACATGGGTATTCGAATAATCGAATCTGTAAATATTTACACCCATGGACACCGCACCAGTGTTCGAAGTAAACTTTGAGATCTGATTGGCAATTGCACGGGAAGTCAGTGAAAGATAACATCATTGTGTAACACCACAAAATAAGATGCGTGTCTTAATTCAACGCTTTCTTTTTTATATGACGCATATCCACATCTTTTGCCCCAAACAAGGCCCTATACAAACAGCCTTACTCGATATTATCTCGGTTCACCAAGACATCATTTCTCGTTCTATTTTTCCCTTATCTGTTACTCCTTATCGGCGCACGCTCCTCTAGTCTCGTGCAATTGGTCAACTCCGACGTGATGAACATATTTGTGGTCAGCTTCCATACGCTTGATGCCAAAGTGTGTACAACTAACCAGACACAACCGAGAATTCAACTACGTATGCGTTATGTCGTTGAAATGAATGACAGACGAAAGTGGGACAAGACTTGAAAATTACTGTAAAACAATTAGCGACCGTAACCAGGAATGCACCTAACTAATTATTTATAATCTGAGTTGCTATACTATGAAAATCTGCTTTATAAAAAATATACTTAGTTTTATAGCTATATCGATAATGACTACCTTGATCTTTCACTGCTGTGACAACACCTTTTCCTTTCCAGTCAAATGACGTTGGCAAATAGCGTAATTTTTGTGATGTCTGGTGGGAACTTGCGCTCTCAAATGTCGCCTAAAATATTTCGAGAATAAGAAAACCGGTAAGACTCAAATTAAAGTTTGCAAGTGATGTCAAAAAAGAATACCAATACAAATTGGTGACAGAAAATATATAATGCTTTATACTAACCGGAGATCTCCTAGGAAACAAATGAGTAGCTGCAAATTCTTTTTCTGTCATATCAGCAAATGAGTTTTCTTTGAAAACCATTCCGCGTTCTTGATATATTTCGTTCAGCCCATCGATCATAGCCATATTCTTTTTGAAAATACCAAATCTGAACATCTTCTCGTAATGATTGCTGTTCTCTCTGCCTATGCCGGATTGCCATTTTCTAAATAGATGTAAATATCAATGATATATCGGAAAACAGTGATCAAACTGCTAAATTAACATTGCGATATATTCTGCATGATAGTCAACAATATTTGCGTTATCCATCGATGGCGAGGTGTTGAAGCGTTGTACGTAACTATGTTATCTATTTTCTCATAATTATTATATATGTCATTTTTATTCAATGGCTGGGAAAATGAACTCGAGTAGTAGCTTTTTATTTAGACTTACTCAAATATCTCCTCCACTGAGATGGCTCCTGTTGTCCCGATTATTAGCAAACTGTAACAAACAAAACTGAGTGATATTTTGTTTGAAAATTAGTTATTACAAAAAATAACAAAAAGATTCTATGCTTTTTGTAAACGAGTTGACTGGTCAACTAATAGATATAAATATACTGTAAAACTTTTTGTGTGCTCGACAAACATCTAGAATTAATTTGAAAAAAACAGTGAGTATCGCAATCGTCACAAAACATTTTTCTTAATGTATCAGCGTGAAACCGAAAAAATATTATAAATCTTCAACAATTTTCTGCTGCTCAAAACACTTCAATGACTAGGAAAATTGTTTCGAATGAATAGAAGTACAATGGGAGAAAAAACATAGTGTATTTATTCCGACCCTAGCATCACTATTCTTGTCGGGTTTCGGCGACTTTGAAAGTCGGAGCGTATAGTCATTGCTGCGGTCTATAGTAATACCCACTGTAAGTCCCATATCTTACCATAATAAAACAAGGCTATCCATAACTTGAAGCATTTCAATCAGCTGAAATTAAATTAGCAGGTATTCATTGAGACAATTTAGACTGTAGCCTAACATCGCGCAGCATAATGCATTTTATGCAATTATTTGCTTCAAGTTTTAGTTATCTATTAACGTCTCACGTGCCTTATATTCGCTCAACAACTGATGGCAGCCTTGGGTCGAGTATTGACATAATTTGTAATACAAAATGCTTTACCATGATAGTTACAGTCGGGGGAAATGTCGGGAAGATTATGCAGTTAAATTTGATTGACAATAACGATATAGACCATTTTGTTCCAATAGGTATTCTTTTTCGGTACTTGACTTGACGCTATGTGGTGTTGTGCAGATGCCTATTGCTTCTTCCGGGAAGTTTATTTTATACAGCCCCGAATGCAGGCCCCAATATTTTATGCGCTGTTTGCCTCGCAAGTCGCAATACACATCCAACGTAACACCGCCATATTATTGTTTTCGCAACAGTAAATTATAGTTCTTTCCCGTATTTCCAAATATTGTATATACATAATTTAAATTATCATCGACTCAATTTTATTTTGGTCCTTGCCCATGATAGTCTTTGTTTGCAAAATGTATTGAAAATAAAAATGTATGAATCCTATTAAAAAATCATTTTTGGAAAAAAAACTTCCATTATCGTGAAAATATACCCCTAAAGATGATCCTAAATTAGTGTGATATCGTGCCTGATTATGCCCATGGACATTGGCATAATTTAATTAGCATTTACATGAAAGAAAAACACCTGTATTTCTATTCCAGTATCTTACGAAACTAGACATGTTTATTTACATCCATTGACATGTTATATGAATGGGTGGTGATAAAGATAACATATTACAAATAGAATCTCGAGACATTCTTGCGTTAATTAACAAATCGATGACAATTTAGGTGACTAATATTTTTATTAAAGCAATTTTTCCCAAAGCAATTGGTCACATGTACTCATTCAGAAATAAAGGAAACTGATCTCTGGGCGAAGTTACGGGCGCCCATTGAGGTGCCAAGAGCTATACTAAGCTAATTATAAAAATCGTTTGCTTTTTTCTCGGGATATCCACAAAGACTGCTACAATACGCGTGACAGTTGTGCTATTCTATACCCATAGACCCGGATCTTTGTCGCTAAATCAAACATTCTTTTGAAAACTGTTTGCCGATAGACGCGTTAATTTTTTTTTTCCCTCTACGAGAATCTTCTAAAATGTTGACTTTTTATATACAAAAAAAATCAGGATAGTGACAACGGAATATTAGAAAAATTATTATTTTTTCATTTGTAAGATTTGTCAGGAATGATGTCTTTTCATACAGTGTCAACAAACAAGAGATAAATCTGAACGTGTTGCAACATAACACATCACAAATATTTTTAGATTATTAGGTCATCACTGACAATTATTAAGGAATAAAGTCTTGACATGCCCCTTTATAACCACCGTGATTGAACCGTACAAAACAAACCCCTTAAATCTGTGGAAAGAATTTTTACATTTCGAAATGTCAGTAGATGGTTCCATTACATTTGAACCCACGTACATTTGAACCCATGACAATTGCACCTGTATGCTATTGCACCTATGGAATTTTTTTTGTTTTTCGGATAGTTGAACCCATACTAACCCTAACCCATGGGTTTTAGCACCCGCATATAGATTGAACCCGTGGATATACGCATGGGTTCAAATGTACGTGGGTTCAAATGTACGGTCACCTCAGTAGATATATATTACATGAAAAATTGATAGAAATACAGAATAATTTTTGAATTTTGCTGTGCGGGGGGTGTTGAATTTTTTGTGGTTTTTGAAGAAAACCAAAACATTTTTTCCCAAAACACAACCCGCAAAAATTCCCATGTCTTTAATGACTTTATGTTGTTATCAGTCATCCTTGGAAATAAAAAAAGAGAGTGGGAGAAACTGTTGTGTGCATTTATAAGTACCCAACATCCCCCAGGGTATTGAAAACAATTGCGTGCCTTCCTTATATTCGTTTGCCATCATTTGTAAATACGATGCTGTCACATAGGGTCCATTTGTCAATAATTTTTATAGCAATACGTAATACCCATGCAAGAAGAAAGATATTGCCCGCTCCCTCTTTTTATGTGCTGTATTCCTTGATGCAGCATACGACAAGCATATATCTATGGCTCACGTTCGACAGTAAATCATTTCTGACTTGAGCAGATTGTCATTTGCCATATACTGTTGTTAGCTGGATGTTCCACAATGCCAAACATTATCCTAAAAACAAACACGCTAGTGCTGTAGAACTTATCATTGGCCTATGCCAAATTGTACATGAAAGACGATTTTACCTAACGGGAACAATTGGTATTAAATGTAATGAGTGTTACCTAAAAACGCAGTGTATGAAAAAAAGTGTCTTATACAATATTTCCAATATGACTGCAAAGATCACAAAATGCGAGATGATTAAATACACAAATATCTGTTTCATACGATCCAATTCAGGTAATTCTATCGAACTTCCAAACAGCGTTATCTCTCAGCCCACACATGTCAATGCATGCATAGAGATACTGTTTTAGAAATACCCGCCATAACTGTGTTTGTACAGATGCTCTGTTGTTTTATCACATGGTAAATTAGCTACACAAACATTTAACCATAATATATATAGATGACTTTACAAGCTATTAATTTACTACTATTTGGTTTTTTTTACGACCAAGTTATTATTTTTCGAGATTGTCGATGCCTACTGTATTTCTGAGAGTTGAAGCGATGGGGCATATACATAAGGTAAGGTCCGTGACTTGTGGCGATTCCGTATTAACACACTTTTTGGTAATTTTATTCGTGCAGTACAGTTTTATTATCCCAAAATACGACTTGTAATATTGCTGTTTTTGAGTTTCGTTGAGCCCAAGCATCTAAAAGTCAACTTTTCCTCATATGCTTATTTAGTTAATAAATTATTCGTTGTTTTTAGATTCTGACAATATTTCTCCTCCTAGCTGTCACTGAACGTGGAAACGGAAACCCGTAAGAGTATTTGATAATTAAACCTATCCACGAATAGGAATATATTACGCTATAGAAATGGGTATATATATGTTGGGTCCCAAGTAATATTCAAATTTACCAAACCTAATAAATTGAATACATTGCTCTACAACTCAAATAAATTTAAACAACTAATTAAAAATATTCAACGTTATAACTTCTTAAAATTCTCAAATAAATTTTATTTTGCTGATCGGAGATAGGATTTTCATATCAGGATAGATAAAGAATCTTATCTGTATGACAAACTACGACTTCTCATCCGATTACCAGTATAGATCGGTTACGACGACCGTTTACTATTCATTGATAAATCTTAGTGCACAATTTCAAACTCAAATACCTATAGATAGACAGTATTCATTTTGAGAAACATTTTTGCATTTGAAAGATCACCGAGCACTAACTGGATAAATAATTGGATAAGAGACAACAACTGCGAGTCAAAGAAGATTGAAATTCGAGATGGATTTGCAAAGTATTTCGAAAAAAGGTAACTTTTCAGATGTGATGAAAAATTAACGTATAAAATGGCGGTCAAGAGATAACTTCACTAATTAATTACGCAAACTCACAATTTTCTTTCCAAACAGCAGTGTTTTTTTCCGACAAAAATAGTTTAAAATCGTCTTGAAGTATCTAAATGGCGCTGATTCTCAATTTCTGTTTTCCGTCATTTTGCTTCCGCACCAAACAGGTTAATCAAATAGTAATATTACTTATCAACTAGTACAGAACATACGAGTAACTTTCAAGGTTACATGGTAACGTCAAAAAGATCTTACTTTATGAAGTTTCGCGAGTTATAGACTGCTTTCTAATCGTATATATTTAGCGCAATGTTCGATTTGCTCCATTTATTTTATTTTATATTATTTTAATTTTTTTTGTTTTATGAAGCGTGATATGTGAACCAGGAGTTACTAGTTTCACTTATGTGGAGGAATGTCCAGAATTATGTTGGGATCCAGTCAAAGCAGAAAAGCTCGACTGGCGGTATAAGGTCTTACCGATTAGATCTGAAATTAAAATCGACGGACATGAAATAGAAGTAATCAAGTCATGCACGTGAGTTAAAAACAGCGTCGATCACTAGAATTTGAATTAGAAAGACAAAAGATTTTCATTTTCTAGAGTATTTGCCCGATTTTATTCTATATAAATATATATATCAGACTGACTGTCTTACTGAAGTATAATAAAAGTAAAGCTTTATAAAACCGCCTGTTGTTTTTGTTGTCAATAAGTTTTATGGCGCTTATATCAGTGATCTTTTGCGCCAAAGGAATTTTTCTCAAGTAATGCAATAAAAATTTGGTAACTGAGTAATGAAAACATATTCTACATTACGTTGTCCAAATAAGTTGAAAGTATTTCTTCCGTGCTAGTTCCAAGTTCATCATATTATACAAAATATGTTTTTCTTCATTTCCTATAGTTGATGATATATATATAACATGTTGACCGTAGAACACGGAGGACGGTTCAGTGTGACAAATTTGAGCAAATATCAGCCGTGAAAGGCTACATCTATAAAATATACTATTTATATGATATATTAATACATACTCCACTGATTTCAGGTGTTCAGGCGTCCTAAATAAACTGGGCTCCGCAGCCAATAAAATGAATAATGTCGTAACGTGTTCTTCAAATATGCTTGATGATGTGAAAAGTAATCACACCGGAAGCATCAAAATCATACCAAAGAGTGGCCACACCATCGACTGGTATACAAATGTTGTGGCTGTGTGTCTACGACATCATCACGTGGGGTAAATGTTTAAAATATTCAATACAATTTCATGTCTGATGCTTAATTCAAAATCATGCACTTTTTGACACCAAACACTGATACTGTTGTGCCTTTATCACCAACCACACTCACTCTGTGCTTCCCCTAGGACTAAATTGGAAATTTGTTCGAAACAAGTTTATATAACAGAACAACTTACCGGCATGATCAGGCAATTTTCTTCCTGGGAATAGTTCTTATTGGTTCATTTTTTAACTACTGACACAGATGACAGAACACGTTTATTATGCAGTAGAAGTTCTATTCAATTCATGATACTTGAAGCTGTGCAAAATGAATGGAATATTTTATATACAGAACTATTGTAAATCCACTTACAACATAGTTGCGCTTTCCTTCAGTGGTTTTAGACAAGCATCCAAGACTAATTTTATGTTGTTATGTAGATTTCCTAAACTAATTTTTAAGAAACGCCTCAGAAAATGGAAGAAAGTGGCCAATTTCTCGCATATCGCCATTTATCACTTAAAAAAAATTAACCGATGTGATGAATATCAAGATTCATAGCTGCTCTGAAAGTACATGCTCTCCCTTTGAGAGAGTATTAATTGATCGTTCGTTCATCAGGAATCCATGCGTAGACCAATATTCTTCTAGCTAGAGATTTCAAGAATAACTGGCCGTTATAACGAATTATTGTCAATATTAACAATGAAATTTTTTATTAAGTTGCAGCAAAAGAGCAATCCGCGGCAGAAGATTGATAAACAGACACGGAAGAAGACGTTCAAATAAATAGACATGTACAATGAAGTTTCTGTGTAGCCTTATTTATTTTTTATTGATTGTAAATTGGATATATATACATATATATTTATAGATATTTGTTATTTGATTTGTTATTAGATTTTTTTTATTTAACTCAGTTGTTTTATCGTTATTGAAAAAAACGGCGTGAATATGACTTTTTGTATATATACATGATAAAAAAAACTGCTTTGTTTATATGGATATATATATATTTGATATCAAAGTCAATATATAACGATTATAAACCAATTTCAGAAAAACTTGTCCGGATGTTGCCCAAAAATCTAGTATTCTTCTAGTATGGTGAAAATATTCTAGTATTTCGCTTGGTCACGTTTTAACAAAGCGAAAGTAAAGTCATCGCAGGGTTGCCATAATTATGGACCTTTACCCGAGCATCATCTTCCTTGTTTATTTCGTGACATTCAGCAAGCTGCAAAAAGTGACGTAACAATAATGCTCCCTTTTCGCTCAGACACATTTCTCACACAGACCCAGACACATTTTCAGGTGTGGTCCCAAACATTACCTCGTTTTCGCGTTTTTGACCACTATTCGTTAGTTTTCAGTTGTGTTTCGGAAATTTAAATATGAATCAGATAATTCAAGAATCACTCTGTCTTTTTAGGGATTTTAATTTAATTGCAGTAATAAAAAATTAGTGTAGAAATAGCTGTGATAGACTTTGCTAAAATTCTTTACCGGTACTTTTAAAAAACAGATTGTTGTATGCGATGAATCATAATGATGGTTTGAAATACCCCATTTTACAGGCACCAATTCGTGAAAACACTCTAAAATTAGCCCCGAAAATTTTGCAATGGTTAAGTATAGGAGGAATTTTTCGAGGTTCAAAGGTCCATTGGCTTTTTAACGCCAAATTTCACAATTTTGGCTCTTTTGAAACACGTTTGGTGTCAGAATTTTGTTTGGCTTTTTGATAAATATCATTAAAAATGCAATGCCGGTATTTATTGTGCAACAATACTACTACTCAGCTAATCTTTCCCTTATGCACAATCAATCAGAAATAGGCGAACAAAGACATAACATGTGCTATTGATTAGATCGAACCAACGACTGACATACCGGATCGAACTATGTATGTCTGAGGAAGTCTGACACACGAAACGTTACAGAAATATATTACTGTTAGTGTGCAGCAAGACTTCTGAATCACTTATAGTGACATAACAATTGCAGTTTTTACAGCCGCTCAGACCATTGAGGTAACAATGCTCAGACCAAAGTCCGTATCGTATATAGAGGACTTGCACGGGTCACGTGACCTTGTTACTGGACGGCAATAAAACAAAAACGTCCATTTGGCTCCTGTCAGTTGCAAGTCGGATTATACGTTTCCGTTTTGTTTGGCCGTTGAAAATGGTTATTTCGTATTGTTCCGCTGGCTGTACGTATAGTATAGACAACGAAATGGATCTTCAGCTATATTCCACTGTTTTCAAAAGATCCGGAACGTCGCGCAATGTGGATATCATCTATTGGCAGGACTGCTTGGTGTCAAGTCCAGAAGCCATCTTACTTGTGTTTCACTGTTTGCCGACAGCACTTAGTTGATGGTGAGTCATGATGTGCCGTTATCAATTTTTTTAAATATTCATAAGCTCCCTCATTTCAATGGAAAGCAGATAACAAACTACTGTTATTGGGAGGCTTAGGCGTAGGCCTACTTCAGTACTTGCAGACTTGACTCGTGTAAGGGCCTACTTGCAGACTTGACTCGTGTAAGGTATTAATCAATAATTGCCATAAGGTATTGTTTCCCTAGTTATCAGGTAATCTATTAGTAAGTGTGAAAATTTGAATAGATAACTAAAGTTTAACGCCAGTGCAAATGCAAAAAATAACCAGAATTCAATTGAATGCTCTATCTGAGAATACGCTCGCCACCACATCTCTGATCCCCCTGGGAGTTTCACAGGTTTCAATCCCATGCGGGGATAGTTATGTGCGAGGGGATTGCAGCTCTCCTCCCACTAAGGGTGGTTCACACGACCGCTGGTCGATTACGACATCCCCCACCATCAAGTCCATGCTTCTAAAACAAATATCTGGCTAACTAATCCCGACATAGAATGGTAATCGTACGATGTTGCACCTTGCAATCTGTCCCCGACCACAGATAAATTCTATCCTAAAAACCAACCACATTTGTAGGCATAGTTGCGTTTTAAATTGAAAGAAATCTTCATTAATGGTCAGAAGGTGTTGTCTGATTGTTTTGTTAGTTAGCAGGTAATTTATTACTGATCTGATACACAAACTTGGCACTGTCAAATGATGATTAGTGTTTAATTTATTTTCAGGAAAAAGGGAAGATAACCCATTATCAGCTGCTTACATGTCCCATCGATATTTGAATTTTCGCCATCCCCAGAGAAGAAGAAAATAGTTAAAAAAGGGAGGATTTTGAAGAAAGGCAAAAGGCAGGACCATTTCAACAAATTCTGTTAACTTGTATGCGTTGCAATATTAATTCGCAGTTGTTAGCATAAACATTTAATGTGTCTTTCGACTAGACCTACCACACTTTAAAAAAAAGCCGCCTACACCCCTTTCCACTAGAACCATAATACTGTAAAATATTTGATAGAAATTACCCCCGAGGCATCATCTTTCATTTGAAAGGGCTGTGGAGGCAGATACATTTTTTACTCTAAATTATGGAATGTTACTTCCAGGTTATCTTATCCTTGCTTATAGATATCTTGAGGTTAGTGACTCCAACTGACCCATGCATGCCACACTGAAAATTCTCTTGTGTACCCATAAAATAAGGCTGTTGGAGCCTTCAGACCTTGAAAACAGTCGAATCCGAGCACGATGGATTCATGTGAAACACGTAAGAGGCAAAAATATCCCATCCTGAGCAGCACCGATCCACAACCTCCTGCCTATGGAATCAAAACATTAGACAAATTGGTGTACTGTGCGCATTCACAAATTTTTGCGAATCAAGTGTGCTTTTTGACTAAAGAAAATTTAGCATTGAAATGGTCAATCTCAATATCAACCTAGTATCTGCAGATAAAACCAATTGTTTTTTAAAAATACATTTTTGATGTGCTTTATTTTTCAAATATAATTTATAATTACTGTAAAGTGTGTGATACATTTGGTACCATGAATACTATTTGCAAATTAGCTTGGGTTACACCCCTCTCAAATAAAAGTTTAGACTCTTAAGTCGTATCTAATAATATTCTTTAAACAAAAGGTTGCGGCTAGACGGCTACCCATCAGAATTTCCCTTCAGATCACAAAGTCGCAATATTACGCCTCGCTTAAGTTTCATTGGCAACTGTATCTGGTTGTAGTATCGGTGTCCAACGTTAGACTGAAACCTTAACGACCAGAGCCACCGAAACAATTTTTTTTCTTGATAGGGTCGTCTTGAAGTTGATTTCGTTAAAGCACAATGGACACTTTATCTCCACCAATCCACAGTAAGGACAAGTTACTTTGTCATTACGATAAGCATCAATAAATGGATACTGAGGATGTATTATCAAGTCACGCAAGCTGAGGTCTTGTGCCACTGTGGTCTTGTTGCAACTTATACTTTGCCATCCATCTATTCCATGGTCGCACCCATATCTGTAAGATAATGGATACAGATAAGAGTTTTCATAAAATCTAACGATCAAGGAGTGTGAAATTTATGTCCATATCCCACCACAGCCACTAGTCGTAAATGAATTTGATTCCGGGTAGCATATCTTTTTTACTGTTTTACCAATGACAATAAAAAGACATTTTGAATCAGTTGTACAAGCACCATTAGGATAGGATTTATCTGGGGGGGGGTTATTTGTTTTCAGAAGCATGGACTTGGATGGTGGGGAATGGTCGTAACCGATCAGCGGTCATGTGAAACACCCTCGGTGGGAGTGGAGCTGCAATCCTCTAGCACATAACTATCCCCGCATGGGATTGAAACTCCCCGCATGGGATTGAAACCTGTGAAACTACCAGGGTGATCAGAGATGCGGTGGCGAGCGTATTCCTAGATGGCGAATTCAATTTAATTCTGGTTATTTTTTGCATGACCCCTGGTGTTAAACGTTAGTTATCTATTCAACCTTTTACACTTAGTAAAAGATTACCTGCTAATTAGGGAAACAATACCTTACAGCAATTGATTATTAATTCCTTACTGTCTTACACAAGTCAAGTCTGCAACTGCAAGTAGGCCCACGCCTAGGCCTACTAATAACAGTAGTTGATTATTAGATTAATTCCTTACTGTCTTACACAAGTCAAGTCTGCAACTAGGCCTACTAATAACAATAGTTGATTATTAGATTATTAATTCCTTACTGTCTTACACAAGTCAAGTCTGCAACTGCAAGTAGGCCCACGCCTAGGCCTACTGATAACAGTAGTTTGTCATCTGCTTTCCATTGAAATGAGGGAGCTTGTGAATATTTAAAGAAATTGATAACGGCACACTATCACTCACCATCAACGAAGTGCTGTCCGCAAACAGTGAAACACAAGTAAGATGGCTTCTGGACTTGACACCAAGCAGTTCTGCCAATAGGCAATAGATGATATCCACATTGCGCGACGTTCAGGATCTTTTGAAATCAGTGGAATATTACTGAAGATCCATTTCGTTGTCTATACTATACGTACAGCCAACAGAACAACAAAATAACCATTTTCAACAGCCAAACAAAACGCAAACGTATAATCCGACTTGCAACTGACGGGAGCCAAATGGACGTTTTTGTTTTATTGCCGTCCAGTAACAATGTCACGTGACCCGTGCAAGTCCTCTATACCCGGCTCAGACAGCTCAAGCAGGCTTCGTTTTCATAGTTTTGCGTATTACAGTGTTATTCGTCAGTTTTTTTGTTATGTTTAAAAAAATAGTTGTATGCCTTAATTCAGTAATTGTCATTTTGCCTTCCGAGGAGCTACAGTTTGGTTGCGGTAATCAAAATTCTCGCAAACGACGTGATTAGCTGGGCTAAAATTATCTTTCGGACTATCTGTGCAAGCGTCACGTCGCGCGTGGTTGAATAATTTTAGTAAAAACGATGCCTTCAAAGATGTGAAGAATATAATCACCAACACTTCAAAAAAAATATATTTAATAGTAAAATGTCGGGAGATTTCTTTGAGGTATATATATATATCGCAAGTTCAAGTAGAAACATGTACATTTATCCGACCTAAAGCGGTATAGATCGTGTATTGCATATATATATACCGTCATGTATAGTGAATTGAAAAAATATTGCTGTCCGCTTAATATTTCATCACTTTTAGTGGGATTTAGCATTTGGTGCGTCTCACTAAATCAACTGATGGCTCTGTTCCGGGCCACTAAAAGGCTGCTTTTGGCTCACTTCCCATGACCGATCGTTCTGTGTCAGTTTTGTAACACTTCCCGGGTTCACACCAAATTTCGTCCGGATCGGCCAGCCAGTTCTCTGGAAAGTGGTCACAGCCTTACCAGTACCTGTTGCTGTAGGCCTGCTATTCGATTGTGGAACGGTTCTTTTCTGGCATATTAAACTCAGTTCAATTTGCTTTTATCAAAATTAACAAATACGGTAGGCTAGATTTGCAAGAAAACCTACACTACTGCAATAGTAAGATCGCGTAATGAATGGGTCAATTTTACTGTAGTACGTTAACTAGCAGAGCCGTAGCTGCAGGCTTGATCCCGCAACCGCTTGAATTAGGTTTCAAAACAGTGTTCCCATGAGTAAATTTAAAAACAGCGAAATTTCGAATGAATAATAAGATTTCATAGAAAATTTAGGAATAAATAAAAGTAATAGCCTCCTGGAAAATTTTTTTATCTTCAACCACTATAAATTTCAAAGCAATTGGTCCAGTATTCGAAGAGAAAAGCTACTTTTTAAAAGTGTGTCAAAGAACAACAACATAATATTGAAACGATCGCTATGTCCACTACGTGTCCAAAAACCATCCCGGCCGTCTTCATTGACCACACTGTAATCGGAAGTTCATGCGCTGTCTTCGAAAAATAGTAATAAATTTACGTTAACGTTAGAAATACGCTCGCCAGCGCATCTCTGATTACCCTTTGTGGGATCGCAGGTTCGATTCCCATGCGGGGATGATCATATGCGAGAGGATTGCTGGACTCCTCGCCGCCGTAGGGTGGTTCACATAACCGCTGGTCGGTTACGGCTTCCTCCACCATCAAGTTCATGCTTCCGAAAACAAATACCTGGCTAACTAATCCCATACCCGACCTGGACTGGTAACCGGACGAGAGGCCGTGGTTCGTCATATGATTAAGCCGTCTTATCGGCTTTCCTCTTCCCCGGAATAAATATGTAAATCCTATCCTATCCTGGCGTACGGGGCTTACACGTAATAAAGTTGCAATTATCCGCTAACAAAACAAAGAAACAAACAGAATCATGCACCCACCTCCAGTAAGAAGGCTAACGGTTAGTCTTGCGGATAAGATGTAAAATCATGCACTTTTGGATGCAAGCATGAAACTTGGCAAACATGTACAGTAGTATCCATTGATCAATTTTGGATATGGTGTCATTCAAGAAAATACCTCTTTGCCATGGAAACGAGGCATCATCCGTATTGCTATTAAAGTGAAAGAAACATTACTTTAGGAAAGGATATTTTCAAG